GAAAAAAAAAAAAAAAAAAAAAAAAAAAAAAAAAAAAAAAATCACAGTTGAAATAATCAAGTGAGATGACACTATAAAATAGAAAGGGTCTTCAAAAAGTTCATGGAAGTATTTGTATTATCTTTTTTTTATTACGAATATTCATGAGATACAAAGCTAATTGTCACCCCTCGTGCCTGTGATGTGAGGGCCAGATTCATACTGGCAGCATACCCATTACCGGAAATTACTTTTGTACCCCGTGTTCCCCACAAAATTATCTCCCAACCTCACTCCCCCTCCCCCTTCCCCCCCAACTCCACTCTGTAGCCCTAGGAATGTCCCCTCCCTCTGTAAGACCAATGCACTACTGTGGTTTTTCTTTCCTTCTTCCTTTCTCTCTTAGCTCCCACATATGAGTGAGCACATGTGGTATTTGCTCCTCTGTGTTTTGCTTATTTCACTCAACGTAAGTTTCTCCAAGCTCATCCATGTTGTTGCAAATGGGAGTATTTCATTCTTTTTTATGGCAGAATAGTATTCCATGGTGTGCAGGTATATATATATATACACACCACAGTTTCCTTATCCAGTCATCCACTGATGGACATTTAGGTTGGTTCCATGTCTTGGCTATTGTAAACAAAGGTGTGATGAACCTGGGAGTGCAGGTATCCCTTTGACCTGATGATTTCCATTCCTTTGGTTGTATACCCAGAAGAGGAATTGCTAGATCGTATGGAAAATCTATCTGTAGTTGTTTGAGAAACCTCCATACTGTTTTCCATAGTGGTTGTACTAATTTATAGTCTCACCAACAGAGCAGGAGCATTACCTTCTCTCCACACCCTCACTAGCATTTGTTATTCACTGTCTTTTTGATTATAGCCAGTCTAACTGGGGTGAGGTGGTATCTCAATATAGTTTTAATTTGCATTTCCCTGATGACTAGTGATGTTGAGCATTTTTTCATGTATCTGTTGGTCATTTGTATGTCTTCCTTTGAAAAATGTCTATTCAGATCCTTTGCCCATTTTTCAATTAGGTTATTTGTTTTTTTACTGTATAATTGTTTGAGTTCCATATATACTCTGGATATTAATCCCTTGTCGGATGCATAGTTAGCAAAAATTTTCTCCCACTCTGTAGGTTGTCTTTTCACTCTGTTGTTTCCTTTGCTGTGCAGAAACTTTTTAGTTTGATATAGTCCCATTTGTTTATTTTTTCTTTTGCTGCTTGTGCTTTCGGGCTCATGTTCATAAAGCCTGTGCCCAGACCTAACTGCTGAAGTGTTTTCACCTATATTTTCCCTTAGTAATTTTACAGTTTCAGGTCTCATAGTTAAGTATTGAATCCATTTTGAGTTGATTTTAGTGTATGGTGAGAGGTGCATATCTAGTTTTATTCTTCTGTATGTGGACATCCAATTTTCCCAGCACCACTTGTTGAAAAGGTAGTCTTTTCCCCAATGTAGATTTTTGTTGCCTTTGTCCAATATCAGATGGCTATAAGCCTAAGGGGTGATTTCTGGGTTCTCAGTTCTACTCCATTAGTCTAAATGTCTATTTTTATACCAGTACCATGCTGTTTTGGTTACAATAGCTTTGTAGTATAATTTGAAGTCAGGTAGTGTTATGCCTCCAGCTTTATTTTTTTGCTCAGGATTTCTTTGGCTATTCAGGGTCTTTTTTTCCACATAAAAGGTAAGATTGTTTTTTCCATTTCTGTGAAGAATGTCATTGGTATTTTGATGGGCATTTCATTGAATCTGTAGATCACTTTGGGTAGGATAGACGTTTTGACAATATTAATTCTTCCAATCCAAGTGCATGGAATATCTTTCCATCTTTTTGTGTCTTCTTTAATTTCTTTCAGAAGTGGTTTGTAGTTCTCATTGTAGAGGTCTTTCACCTCCTTGGTTAATTTGATTCCTGGGTATCTTATTTTTTTCATGACATTGTAAATGGGCTTACTTTCTTTACTGCTCTTTCTGTTAATTCATTATTTGAGTATATAAATGCTACTGACTTGGGGGCATTTATGTTGTATCCTGCAACATTACTGAAGTTATTAACCAGCTCTAAGAGTTTTTTGATAGTCTTTAGGTTTTTCTATATATAGTATCATGTCATCTGCAAATAGAGAGAGTTTAACTTCGTCTTTTCCAGTCTGGATTCCCTTTATTTCTTTCTCTTGCCTGATTGCTCTGGCTAGTACCTCCAATACTATGTTATATAACCATAACTTTTTGAAACACCCTCATATAGCCTCACAAATCTGCAGAATTATTTTCATAATGCCATTAAATAAAGTTCCTATTTCTGAGTCATTAGAGGTCTATAAACAAAATGCAACTTTTGCAGCATAAATGAAAAACATTTTAAAAATGAGTTCAGGTGGTAGTTTGCCCTAACCAGTTAGTTAATAATGATGTTGCTTTCTTTTTGTATAGTATTGAATGCAGAAGGTAGTATTTCATACACTTAACACATGCTTACAAATGTAGAAACTGACATTTGAAGAAGATAAGTGGCTTGTTCAAGGTCTCCCAGTTGGCCAGTAGGGAAAGTGATACTAGAATCCAGATTTTCTGGCTCCCTGTCCACTATTTCATTTCACTATGCCATACGTATCACTTAGTATAACACATATCAGACTCCAGAGCCGCACCTTTGTAAAATCATACAAATTTTAAAAACAGTATTTTTGCAAGAATAATTGAGACCAATAACCAAAATTAAATCAATTGTGATTCTCCCAGCACTCTTGGGCTATTCCATTCTCTAAGGCACTAAGTTGCAATCTCTCAGGAAAGCTCTTCAAGCACATCAGCCATATAGTATCTCCCCAATGAAACTCCAGACCTTCTTGAGGACAAGGACTGAGTCTTCTATTTAAAAACAGTATTTTTGCAAGAATAATTGAGACCAATAACCAAAATTAAATCAATTGTGACTCTCCCAGCACTCTTGGGCTATTCCATTCTCTAAGGCACTAAGTTGCAATCTCTCAGGAAAGCTCTTCAAGCACATCAGCCATATAGTGTCTCCCCAATGAAACTCCAGACCTTCTTGAGGACAAGGACTGAGTCTTCTTTTTATCTTACACAGCCTGCAAACTGCTAGCACAATGGGAGGCTGCAAGCTCTTAGCAAGATCAGGTCTGTTCCCTGAAAACACGTTGCCCTGGTTACTCTGTGTGTATCCGAGTTTTGTTGGCTGCACATCCTCCTAGGTGATGGAATTTGTGAGAGGTAGCTTGGAAAGAGAAAGTCTGTCATAGTAGAGTATATAAAATTTTCAAACAGAAATATGTCTACGTATAATTTCACATATTTTGAAAAATTCCAAAGGTTTAAAAATCGCAAGTTGAAAACATTCACATACAGGACCAGAACATGAACATCTTCCAAGAATATGGAAGTCTTTCATAATTAAATCTATTGGGAGGGGGCCCTTGTCACCTTCACGTTTCTATTAATTTCACTAGAGCTTCTGGA